CCTGGAGGCCAGGCCCCACATGATCAATCCACCAGCCAGAAGCTGGTCCCTGAGGCCCAGGTCAGATCCATTGTGCCCACATTGTGCCAGGTCACAATCTAACATCAAAACACCTTCCACTCAAGTCTTTTCAACTGTGGTCTACTGATATTTTGGGTTGGACAATTCTTTGTTGTGAGGGGCTCCTTATGACGACGACAAAAGCAGGGTGCAGAAAAATGCACCCGCCTCATGCTCCTTGGATGTGAATTTGCACTAATGACTATCTTACATACCTTTGAAAGTATACTAAGAAGTGGAGCTCAGGATTGACTCGGAGAGGGATGGAAATGGCGAACACAGGCAAGAAAGAGACAGCTTTAACTATTTGTAACTTTTGGGTTCGGTATCATGAAATAATTTTTTAGTATTCACCAAACTAATTTTGGGGTGTGTGTGTGTGTGTGTGTGTGTGTTTACCTGTGGATGTAACTGTTTTATGATTTAATTTATGAGTTATTTTTGTGAATTAATTTTTATATCAATCTGCTATCCTAGAATCAGTGTCGCATGATCTTAATGAATAATGGTAAAATTTGAAAAATACAGAAAGTACAAAAGCAATATGAGAAATCCTGACCATCTTGGATCAAGAAGTTTTTTTTAAAATAAATGAAATCAAGTATTGTAGCTAAATTTGAATTCCTCTTCTCTTTCTCATCCAATTTCTTCCCCTCCTCCAAGCAGGAAAAATCTCATGACTTTATTAGGTACCCTTTCAGACTTTGCTGATACTTCTATGAATGTGTACACACAGCTCACATCAGTTCTCATCAGAAATAGCAGAGAAGGAAGTGACTGCGGGGTAAACGGGAAACCTCTGTCACTGAGTTAATTCCCACCCCTAGGGAGTCAGTACAGATAGGGTGGAACTGCAAGGATGGGCTTCCAAGACTAAGTCCTGGCCAGAGGAAAAGCCCCATCTTTCTCCTGAGCAGCAGCTGGTGGTCTCTGCACGCAGGACACTATGGAAGTAGCTCTAGAAATACAACCTAAACCCAAGCCCACTGTAATTGAATTGATTCTGACTCATAGTGACCTGACAGAGTTTCCTAAGATGTAAGTCTCCACCCCCACCCCCACCCCCTGTCCCGGAAATATTTGCCATCCTTTTATTACAGCATCACCTCTCTCTTTGGACAGAGATTAAAATAGCCTACCAAATTTCTCAGCTAACCAACCATCTTGATACCTAGTGTTTTTTTGTATTTTGTTTACATTTTTATTGGCACCTAATCCAGATGTCACACAATTCAATTGTTCAGTCATATCAAGAAGAATTGTATAATCATTACCACAATCAACTTTAGAACATTTTTCCCCCTCATGGAAGTCGCCTTTAAAATGAGTTATGTAATCACAGTCAGTCCTAGTTCTCCTCCCCCCTCCCGCCTTCATTGTTTATTCCCCAAATCCCCTCACCCTCCTTATCTCCCACTCCCCGCCCCTGAAACCCCATAGATTCTTCAGTTATCTCTAGGCATCCACTTCTGTGCCTCACAAATTGGGAAACCCAAAAGAAACAATGAAAAACAAAATAGAAATAAAGCAGTAAGGATAACATAATCATATGAAGATAAAAATGCAAATAATGAATAAGAAAGAAAAGACCACTCTCAATCTTTCAAAAGCCAGGGAAGAAATTTT